GAAGAAAAGGATTTCCATTTAATTAGTAATAATAGAGCCATCGTGTTACACATTTTTAATCCCGCAAGGGATTGCGCTAACAGCTTTTTGAAAGGGTCTTCTAGTTATAACCACATTCATCATCGAAGATTGACATTCGCAAGAAGTCTTGATATCAGAATCGTTTCTGATTCCAGCAGAAACTCTCAAAGCTACGAAGAGGAATGTATACTAATCCTTCTGTACTTATGGTATTGGTTCTGACATCGTATCAGATATAATTGATCAGATGCGAATGCGATGTTGCATGAAAAAAATCCATGTGCTGTCGTCTATAACACCTTTCCATCATAGCTGATAATAGATTTAATATATATTTATCAAAAGCATTCTCTTCTAGCTTTTCTGTTTCTTCATAACATCGTTCTTAGCACATTTCTTTGAACGTTTAAAATTTCTTTTTATAACTATTAAGAATTGTTGTTAATTCATATAATTTATAGCTTAGAAAAATTCTTTTTGTATAAAAGGATACAGCATCATTGCCTCTATTTCTGTATGGCATTTGATCAATATAAAACTAATATCATAATAATAAAATTTTAACAAGAACTATTTTTGTTAAAAAGTAGCTGGTAGCATTTCGGTCGTAATGAATGTGTTATTTTTGTATTCTACATTTTTATCAAATACTATGTTGTATTGTAAAAACAAAGTATACAAGACGATGCAGCGTAAAAAGCTCTACTATATGTAAAGTGTCTCTAATTTTATAGTTGTACGCTTTGTTTTAAAAATGAGGAAAACTCTGAATTGCCAAGTTTTGCTGGGATGAATATGAAACTTTTTGGTTAAGGAAAAACCAATTCGGATTTTTTGTCCATCTTATCGTTGCATAGCTATTCTTTGTAAAGTGTAGAGTTCTCTACCCTTCATCTGCTGGTATATTTCGTTTTTTCATTACAATATATTATATAATAATAAGGTGAAATGCAAAAATATCACCTCCATGATAATCTAGATGTTACCAGATGGTTTGCAACAAAAATAGTTCTTCTCGAAATTTTATTATTATTCAATAGTGATCAAATAGCATAAAAAGACAGAAAGACGCTCTATCTACTCATATAAAAAGAAAATATTTTCAAGTTTTCTCTAAGAAATAAAAGAATCTTCACCAATACTTTTTGTTAATCCTAAATAAATCGTATTTTTATCTAACTCATTTAATCGTAAAGATTTTATCTTCTTTCTCGAAATATAACTTATCAACCGTAATGTTTTTAACAAAGACAATAAATTTAAGTTTAAGGGTCCAGTTTCTGCTTCCGCGCTATAGAAACCTCAGCAATCGAAAATAATAGACATCAGATTTTCGAGAGATTACTATTGGAAAAATTGATCAAGTTAAAATTCTTATTTGGAAGTTAATTACTACAGGGTTGCCAAAAATGTTTTTCCAGGGGGGTACAGCCCTAATGACTAGTGATATGAACAATAAATTTTATACCAAATGAAAGCCCGTCAAAAACGGGGTTTAGGGTTATACTTTGATTTTCTATACGAGAGGAACTAATTATAGAACAAAGAAAAGTTTCAGAATTTTGAGAGTTAGAATTGTATCGACTTTGCAATAGAAGGTAATACAGCAGAAAAGAGAATGTATATCGTCATAAAATTCATAGGGAATTTACCCAATAACTTCAAAACACATTGCTTGAATGCCTAAGACAATGATTCTTTCATTCCTTTATCATTTATTTGCGTTCTCTCCCGTAAGCATGTGCGAATAGCATTTTTATCACAAAAAGAACGAAGAAATAGCCGTCAGTCACGATCGTATCGAGTCGAATTATTTTTTCTGCTGTTTCTTTCACTTTCTTTGTTCCCATACACTATCAAAGTCATAAGGAAATCGTGATCTCTCTTTGAACGAAGTGATTTTGCTTGGAATGTAAGTAAATACCGTGTCTTTCATTTATACCTTTTAATGATGACCATGGTAGATTTGTGATTTAGCTGAGGCTGATTGAATACATTTTATCTATACGATGGCTGGGACTTACGACGATGAACAACAGCGAATCGTCGATCGAATAAAGTGCATTGCTTTCCGTGAAGCTCGTGATGCTGGTGCAGCATTCATCACTCGACAATGGATCGCAGACAAAATCCATCGTTCGACCCGGTTTGTTACTCAATGGTGGGAGAAAGCATATGATGAATGCTTTGCTGATTATTCTGAATGTGGTCGCAACCTCAAATTATCCCAGGATAGTCAGAACATCATTGTCAATGCGAGTGGCAAGCAAAAAAAAAGTTCTTCCGTTGTGGCAAGGGAAATTGCAGAGAGACAAAAAGAGTATGTTACGCGAAGCACGATCGACAACTATCGACATAGGATGGGACTGAAGCCTTTCCACGTTATTCAAAAACCACTGAAAACAGAAACTCATATCTCCGATCGTCTATGGCTATGTGACTGGTTGAAGAACTGGACTCAGGAGGACTTCTTACACCTTGCACCAGCTGATGAATTTTTCGTGTGGAGCGTTCGCAAGCCAAATCATCAAAATGATAGGATTTGGGCTAAATCTATCGAAGATATTGAAGAGGACGAAAGATATCGCGAAATGGTACAAAATCAAGCATGCATCGGTATTTTCATTATTTTTACCGCGAAAAAATTGCATTGTGTAATCAAAGATAAAGGAGAATCCTGGACAGGTCAATACTTTCGTGATATAATTTTGGTTGACACGTCTTTCCTTTCCTCAAAAAGGAAGAAAACGTCATTGACGTGGATGAAGTAATATTTGTTCATGACAAAGCCCCATGCATGAAAGCAAATATGACCCAGCAATTGATCCAAGACAACGATATCAACTTTTGGGGTAACAATATATGGCCCAGAAATTCACCTGATCTCAATGCAGCTGAACATATTGGATCAATAGTGAAGGATGAAGTCGAGACGAGAATGTTATCTGAGACCGGACATGATCGCCATCATGAAGAAACATTGAAAAATCACATATGCCATGTCTTAGAAAGTATGGAAACAAATACTGAACTTTTTGAAAACCTGTTATGTTCCTATCCATCTCGATTACAGGCTATCAAAAGAGCTAACGGTCGGCATACAGATTATTGATTATTTGTACGAGCTTTATAAAAAATAAACATTGCTTTGATATATCCATCATTCTTTAACTGTTTTTACTCAGAATTATACCGTTGGAATAGCATTTCATTAGTTGCAGATTCTTCAAATTTTCTGAAGTGCCACAGTTCTACAAGTCGTCACCCTCTTATGGAAAATCAAAATATACCCCTAAACCCCATTTTTGAAGGGCTTTCATTTGGTATAAAATTCATTGTTCGTATCACTAGTCGTTAGGGCTGTACCCCCCTGGAAAAACATTTTTGGCAACCCTGTACATGTGATCGTATTCGACGAAATCGACGTTGTGTGCAAAAACCGAACACAGAGTAGTTCAGTACGTGATACCATGCATGATAATGTTACTGCTCAGCTCCTGGCTGAGATCGATGGAATGATTTATCTTGACAATATTCTTTTAATTGACGCACAAAATATTCTTGAAGCAATCGATCCAGCACTTCTTCGCCCAGGACGCATGAAGAAAGTTATTAAGATTGATTTACCAGATGCAGCCGCTCGCTCTGCTATTTTTTATATCCATATAAAAGCACTTATCGGTAATGGAGCACTTAATGGAGATATCGACATCAACCACATCATTCGCCGTACCGAAGGAATGACCGGAGCACATGTGGAACAAATTGTTCGACTGGCAGTTCAGGCTGCTATGCGGCGAGACATTTTAGAGCGAGATAAATTCGATATTACCGAAGAAGAGGGCGAAG